AACTAGTTGAAACTATAATAAAGAACAATACTGTCAGACATATAGATGAACATAATTTGTTGAGGAAGAGTCAACATGGTTTTAGTAAAGGGAAGTCATGCCTCACCAATCTACTAGAATTCTTTGAGGGTGTCAACAAGCATGTGGACCAAGGGGATCCAGTGGATATAGTGTACTTAGATTTTCAGAAAGCCTTTGACAAGGCCCCTCACCAAAGGCTCTTACGCAAAGTAAGCTGTCATGGGGTAAGAGGGACGGTGCTCTCATGGATTGGTAACTGGTTAAAAGATAGGAAACAAGGGTAGGAATAAATGGTCAGTTTTCAGAATGGAGAGAGGTGAATAGTGGTGTCCCCCAGGGGTCTGTTCTGGGACCACTCCTATTCAACATATTCATAAATGATCTGGAAAAAGGGGTAAACAATGAGGTGGCAACATTTGCAGATGATACATAATTACTAAAGATAGTTAAGACACAGGCAGACTGCAAAGAGCTACAAAAGGATCTCTCAAAACTGGGTGACTGGGCAACAAAATGGCAGATGAAATTTTATGTTGATAAATGCAAAGTAATGCACATTGGAAAGCATAATCCTATACATATAAAATGATGGGGTCTAAATTAGCTGTTACCACTCAAGAAAGAGATCTTGGAGTCATTGTGGATAGTTCTCTGAAAACATCCACTCAATGTGCAGCGGCAGTCAAAAAAGTGAACAGAATGCTGGGAATAATTAAGAAAGGGATAGATAATAGGACAGAAAATATCATGTTGCCTCTATATAAATCCATGGTATGTACACATCTTGAATACTGCATGCAGATGTGGTCGCCCCAGCTCAAAAAAGATATATTGGAATTGCAAAAGGTTCAGAAAAGGGCAACAAAAATGATTAGGTGTATGGAATGGCTTCTGTATAAGGAAAGATTAATAAGACTGGGACTTTTCAGCTTGGAAAAGAAACGTCTAAGGGGAAATATGATTGAGATCTATAAAATCATGACTGGTGTAGACAAAGTAGATAAGGAAGTGTTGTTTTCTGCTTCTCATAACACAAGAACAAATGAAATGAAAAAAGAAGAGGAAGTATTTCTTCACACAATGCACAGTCAAGCTGTGGAACTCTTTGCCAGAGGATGTTGTGAAGGCCAAGACTATAACAGGGTTCAAAAAAGAACTAGGTAAATTCATGGAGGATAGGTCCATCAATGGCTATTAGCCAGGATGGGCAGGAATGGTGTCCCTAGACTCTGTTTTCCAGAAGCTGGAAATGGGCGACAGGGCATAAATCACTTGATGATTATCTGTTCTGTTCATTCCCTCTGGGGCACCTGGCATTGGCCATTGTCCGAAGACAGGATACTGGGCTAGATGGACCTTTGATCTGACCCAGTATGGCTGTTCTTATGTAGGTGCCATCAGGGGATGGAAAGACTGTAAGTGTGATAGACATGCACGTAGACTATTTGTGGTTTAAAAACTTTTTTCTCCAGAAGTCTTGGTTCTGCTGCTAAAGGAACAATATTTTGGGTTAATATGGCTGCCTGGTCACTGTCTTCACCACTGGCCACATATTTGTGCAGGGAAGAACCAAAGGTGCCTAAACCCAGTCAGATACCCTGTGTATCAGCTGTGCTTACCCAGTGGATCTGTAGCCCAAGTCTTGATCTAGGAGTGGGAGAACTGCAAACTTCCACCCCAGGATAGATTACACTTGATGGGGTGGAGTCAGAAAGACCAGAAAAAGGACAGAGGAGCAGCTAGTCCTGTAACCATGACAATAGTATCTAGGAGACCAGGCAAGACTTAAACTTGCCTGTGATCCTGGAAAGTCTCATTCTTCTCAGATACCATTTCAGTTTGCTTGCACAGTTCAGCATAACCGTACTGCAAGTGGTAAAAACCCAAATTCTTTTCAAGAGTTAAACCTTAATTCCCCTGCTCCCATCAAATTTTGAGGATCCCGCTCCCAGTGATTTCAACCGAGAAGTACTAGCATGCTGAATTGAGCCAAATATTCCCTCAATCCAACCCCTTTGCTCCACAAGTTCCTCCACAGGACAAAGTAATTTTTACTACCACACAATTATAATCAGATCTGAATAAGAACAACAACAAAAAATGAACGTTTCTCATGTGAATCTCATCACTTTAAATAATAAAATAGGAATTTTTCTTGTTGGAAGAATGACTATGTGTAAATATGACTTGGGAAAACAACCTTTATCAAAGTAAAAACTGAAATTAGACTGCAGCTCGCAGTATATCAGTAGAGAAACCGTATCCTTTGTAAAATAAGAAATCAACTGCAATCAGGGCATTATGGTTTCCCCTTTTCTGCAGAAGCCACAGGCTGGAATCCATAAGAGTTTCTTGCCTAAGTTCAACAGAGACTCTTTGCAATGGGACACCAGTGCATGAGAGCAGATGTTCTTACCACAGTGGCAAAATAATGTAGGTTTTAAAAAATGAGTTATAGGAAGGGAATTCCTCCAACAGCAATAACTGCACAAAGTCCTGTGTGAGGAAAGATACTGCTGCTTTCCCTGAGATAACAAGGGGTTAGAGAACAGAATTAAGGACAAGCCAAAGACATGGTTTAATCTCAGTGTTTGTTGTGTAGACTTTAAATCAAACTGCTCAAAGGTGGAGGCAGTGTGGTCTAGCAGCGTGACCATGGGACTGAAGGTCAGGAGCTCCCAGTTCTAACCTTGGTTGGTGAAAAGCCAACAATTGGCTGTGAATAGTGTAACAGTCCTTGTCTCAGAGTGCTCACAGGTAGAACTATCCAGGGGGAGGGGTTACTTTAGGTTCTTTTCCCTAATCCTTTAGGACGAGATTGAGGATATGCCTACACTACAGCAGCACATCAGCTGTAGCATCATAGTGTCGATGCTTCCTAAATTGATGGAAGGTGTTTTTTTTTTCTCTAGATGCAGTTAACCCACTTCACTGCGAGGTGGTAGCTAAGGCAACAGAACAATTCTTCTGTCGACCTAGCGGTGTCTATACCAGAGGTAAGATCGACCTAACTACTACACTCAGGGCAGAACATTTTCCATAGCCCTGAGCGAGGTGACTAAGTCAATCTAATTTTTAAGGGTAGACCGGGCCTGAGACTTTACATCTCGTCACGTGTAAGGGGCAGCACACCACAGGTCCTTCTCTTGTTCCCCTGTGCTTCAGGGCAGAGGGGTGGGGATGGGGAAGCAATCTGTCAGCTAGGATGGGCAGCACAGATTACTTCACCTTCTTCACTGCACATTGGCTCAGCACAGCTGGCCAGTGAGTTTGGGGGTCAGGAGGGAAATTAAGTCTCACCATACCCCTGGGCGGTGGGTGAAGCTTCCCCTTGGGGAGGTTAGTCCCTTGCCCTGTCTCTTCTGACTGAGGCCCAGCCTCTTCCTGCCAAGCCACACCCTGCTCTCTGCACTCAGGCCCCCCACCATGGCCCCGGCCAAGGGACTGGCTGGGGTGGGGCTGATAGCTTGAGCAGAGCTCTGGGAGGGGGCGGGGATGAGAGCTCGGCCCTGGTCGGAGCTATGACCCCAGATCCCCTTCCCCCCCCAGCCCCAAATTGGCTGGGGCCCCTGGGCATGGGCCCCATGTGCCTGTGCAGTAATCCGCCACTGCCCACCGCAGCACAAGGTTTGGTGAGGCTTAGACTCCCCACGCCTCTATTATGTGCCACCCATGCCCCAAACTCTGTGCAACGGAGGCAGAGGGAACAGCAATCCCATTCAACCTGCTTTCTCACACACACAGCAGTGAGCTGGGTAATCCGCTTAAGGGAGTAGGGTGGTCTTACATTTCTGCATGGCATCATACACACAAATGAATCCTGTCCCTAATCTTCCTCAAGGCCTTCCTCATACAGTACCTTCTGAGTATGTCTACACCGCACCCAGGAGTGAACCTCCCAGCCAGGGTCCACAGACGTGTGGTAGCTGGGCTTGTGCCTGCACCTTAAAAATAGCCCTGCAGATCTTGCTTTGATGTTGAGGCTCCCCACAGGCTTCAGAGCCTGAGCACCAGCCCATGCTGCACTGTCTGTACAGTTATTTTCAGAGCAATAGTACAAGGCCTGTTAGCACAAGTCTGCAGAGCCAGGCTAGGAGAATCACTCTCAGATCCAATATAGACATGCCCACAGTGACCTTGGGCCAGTCACATAATGTCTGCCTCAGTTTCCCCACCTGCGATATAGGGGTCATACTCCTCATCCACCATCACTTGGGGTGCAGTGAAGGTGAAAATAGAAAGTGATATAATAATAATAATTATTATATATGTCACTCCTTTATTAGATGCTGATATTCTTGTAATACAAGTCTTTATAGTAAAGCCTATGTTTTTAGCCTTGTGATGTATTTGAAGGATGGAAAAATAAGACACTTTATAGGAAAACTTGAATCTTCACTGTTGAACTTTCAGGAAAGCACTAAAACCTTCATAGCTAACAACTATAATTAGAGCATTAGCTAATCAAAATGATTTATTTTTTAAAACTATATTATTACAAGGAATCATGCAGAATATTTCCCCCTAAAAATGCACTTTGCTGTGCAATCCATTGCAGGGCATATGAAACGACGCAGGTTCTCCGAGTCACGAAGAGGTATTTAAAACCCAAATGTTCCTCAAAGGGCCGTGCTGTCAAAAGTACTTCAGTGCTATGGAGACAGCAGAGGAGAGAAAGGAGGGCAGGGAGGGGAAGGGTGTGGCTTCAGAGTGACATTTGTGGCTAAGTTACACAGACTGTACAGTACTGTTTCAGAACAAAACCACCCTCTGTTCACAGTTTACAGGAAGACAGCAGAGTTACTCCCGGCTACCCAGTTTGTCATTAAAAGCACAACAGCACAAGCTGTTTGATAGCAGATCTTTTGATCAAGAATCAAATTTTATTTTTGCTGGGCCGCCCACAGAAATATGGGTGTTCAATACAAAGATACATTCACATCCAATTAAAGAAGGGAAAAAATAGTCAGTCTACTCACCGCGGCCTTCTGAAAGCTAGACCATACTGCTGACAGGCCAGGCCGACGGTGGGAGTATAAACTATGGGCATGAATCTCTCAGTGTCCGAGGTCAGCACTCTGTAGAAAAGCTTCTCGTTTCTGTCTTGCAGTGTCATAAGAATAATGTATCTAAAAACCAAAAACAACAAAACCCAGATACACACATCAAAGAACCTGGGTGTGGACAATTCCACCAATGCTGCGCATGACTGACGAAGCTAATGGCATCTAGATTCATAACATCTCACTTGCTAAGAATGCAGGACACTCCCACAAGGGCCAAGTACTAGTCTTTGGATGGGCAGCTCAAGCCTGAGGTTCTAGAGGTACTCAGCATCCATAGCCCCATTGCCTTCGACAGGAGAGGTGCATGTTCAGTACCTCTGAAAATCAGAACCTGCAGTATCCTCAGGATCTTCTGGATTTGCAGCACAAACATCGCTAAATGAGGAGGATGAGAAGAACTATGCTGAAGGCACGATTGTGAGGGCCAGTGCCGGAATTAATCTATATCTGATTTAAATTTATCAAGTGGTCTGCGTGCTATACATATTTTAAGGACTACACATATGCAAACTGCAATAGATTCGTATTCCTAAAATTCTCCAATCTACCCCCAATAAAATTCTCGCCCATCCACCCACAGTCTTCAACACACATCAGCCTTCAAACCTTACATACCCCAATCAGCCTATCCCCTTAGAAAGAGCCTGGGAAGATATTAGTGTTAAAAATGAAGGAGGATAGGTAAATTCCATACCAAAAAAAGAAGCACTAAAATAATAATAATTTTAAAAATGAGGTAATACAAAAAAAAAGTTAGGTCACCTCTGTAACCTTAACTTTGCCCACCTGTGCATATGCATCATGACACAGTCTTAGATGATCACATATTATTTTTTGTGTAGGATGTAGGATTCGCTGATGTGCTTGAGCTATGTCAAAACATCTCCCCTATACTCTCTTTTTTCCTGAAAACGATTCCCGGGCTGAGAATGAATTTGTCTGAAAAGTGAAAGTCTGAAAAAATTCTAAGCAACTGGAAAGGACCCACTTAGAATGGAAAAGTCCAAACTTAACCATAGTATATGTTCAGGGCCTAATCCTGCAAAGTAGAGCATGTGGGCAAACTGCTGGGCTCCTCATAGTCATCTCAGTCTGCCTGCAAGCTACACAATGCAAGACTGGTGCCTAAGTCTATGTAAAGATGGGCAAATGCAGCAGAAGTGCTAAGCCAGAAAGCGGGGTACAATTTGTCTGAGTTTCTCAGTCGCCAGACCAGCAACAGTGATGTAAAAGCAAAACACACAGCCACTGGGGAAAGGACACACCTAACATTTTCCCACAGTAACTCTTATGAGTAAGGATACGATTTTGTCACGGAGGTCACAGATTCTGTGACTTTAACGGACCTCTGTGACTTCTTCAACTTCAGCCCCACCGCCTGCAGTAGCGGGGCTGGAAGAGCTGTCAGCCTCTGCCACAGCAGTCAGGCTCAAGATGTCTGTCGCCCCCAGACAGGTCGTGGGCTTCTGTGAATTTTTGCTTATTGCCCATGACCTGTCTGTGACTTTTACTAAAAATAATCGTGACAAAATCTTAACCTTACTTATGAGCTATACTGAAAGTGCTGGTGGGTTAGGAACAGGAGGAGAAGCAAATATTTACCACTGCATAGGATTTTTACATTTCTCTTGTCTGCTGGCAGGTTCTTTTTGTTCTTCCATCAGGCATTTTTCTGAACATGCTGATAGATAGATAGAGTTAAGTGAACCCACTATGTTAGCGATCATGTTGTGTGTAGTGTCATATCGACCTTGGGAGACGACTGGAGTGAACAGAGGAGATAATGGGCAGGCTAGAATAGACACAACTGGCAAACTGTTAGTTAACAGAGTATCCTTAGCTGGAAGAGCAGTGATTCTGAAGAAGGGCGCTGAGCATGTAAGGCTTAAAACGGGATCCTCACATCTCCATGCGGGTTGTAAAGACCACAGTCCCAGCCAAAAGTTGAAAATGGAGAAGACTTTTTCAACATACTTGTCTAGATCACTGGATTTGGTCTCGTAGCTTTTCATGACACGGAGAACTTGAACATCTTGGCTCAAGAAGCATGGAGGAAGCAAACCATGAATTCCAAGTTGAAGCCTCTCTTCAAGTGTAAAGGCCATCCCCTAGGAAGGAAAGGCGAAGGCATATTTAAATAACAGAATATATCATAGTCTGCTCTTACCACCACGGTGACCCCTCTTCAGAATAATCTGCAGAGGAGCCTATCTTAGTAAAAAAATATCATCCAAGGAACTTGCAAAAGGTGTCCTTCTACATTAAATGCTAAATATTGACTAAACTGTAATTCTACACACATTTATTATGGCAAATAAATAGGTTAGTACAACTGAAAATAAAAAGAAGTAGACACTGATATAGAAATAAAAATAGAAATTTTAATACGGGAGGACCTGAGGTGAGCTCTTCCACAATCGTGTGGGTCTGGCACACTCCTCTGGAGGACCTACCATGGGACAGACTTTAAGCTAGGACACGGGACTGGATAGACCATTTCTCTGTTCTAATAGCACCTCTGACCCCTGTTTATACAGTAGTAGTCCACTCCAGATGGATATGCAAAAAACGCATTATAAAACAATGGAAAGAGATTAAGATCTTCTGAGAGCAGTCCAAAAAATATTTCCCCAAAAAGCGTGCCTGATATTGCCCAACTACAACAGGAAGAAAAGTGTATTTTTCTCCTTTGTACTTTTGACATTTGTTCTTCAAACCTGTGAGGCTTCTGAAATAATAGAGAATAAAATCAACATTGGACACCAGCTCTAAGCCAGTCCTGGGCTTTACAATGAAAATATTGTGGCACAGCAGGGAAAAGGCTCACAGCTACTACAAATGTCAAAGTTTAGCTACAATGGATGGCAAAGAAAGAGACAGTCACAAGTTCAAGTCATCTATTTCCTACAAATACAGAGGAGTAAAGAGGCCAGCAGAAATTTCAGCATTAAAGCAAGGCTTGAAAAACCCACATGCCCAAACAGAGTGATCCATTTGGAGGGACTTATTAAGGTTTGGGAGCAAAGCAGCTGATTTCATCCCCAGAGGGAAAGGGACAAACCTAGAAACAAAGAAATCCAGTGGCTGCTGCTCCTTTAGAAGCAAACTGGGTATAGTTACTGGCATAGCTATGTCTGTTAGGAGTGTGATTTTTTTAAAATCAATATAGTTATTCCAGTAAAAACCCTAGCATAGACACAATTTTTACCTGTATAATGTGCTTTATACCAGTATAGCTTATTTTGCTTCACTGAACTAGAATATGCTATACTGATATAGGAACTTTTATACTGGAATAATTGCATCTACACTAGGGTTTGTTTGTTTGGGGTTTTTTCATTTGTTTTTTGCTGCTTTAACTATAGTTACAGCAGTAAAAGTTTGCAATGTAGGGAAGGCCCCAGTCACACAAGGAGGAGTCTATGGCAAAGCTGGGAATAAAACCCAGGCTGCCAATCCTCTGGGAGCATTGCTCCAGTAAGGTTATTAGAAGGCCTAAAAGTAGGTCTGTGCAAAGAACCCCTTGGTAAAACGGTTCTATGCACCGAGTTAATACATCACAGAATAAACTTGGAAACAGACAACGTCCCGGATCAAAAGCTTTGATTCACTGAGGTTTTTTGTTTTGTTTTTGAGATTCAAGAGTTCTGCCTAAAAGCCATATTGCATGGGTCATTTTTCTTGTGTTGATATCATTGGTAATTAATGTGGCTAGCTACTTCCTAAAAGAGCTAAAACCAATCAACAAGCATTCTGATCATTTTATAAAACATATGGAAAATGAATCATTGTAGTGGATAGCTATCACTTCATGAAAAATAAAACAAAAAACAAATGGGAAAATCCAACCACTAGCAAAGCACAACGTTACAAGGAAACTTGTTGTGGGGGGTATTGCTGAAGATTCTAGCTCTAGGTAAGCCTCAGATGTTTAGATGATCATGATGGTCCCTTCTGACTTAGTCTGTGAGTCTATGTTCACATCCTCTCTTATTTGAGAGGGCATTTAACCAGTAGATAGCAGCTTCATTGCAACTGAATCCCATTCCCCATTTTCAAAGACTGGAAAAGGAAGATACAAAATGTCAGTTACAGCAAAACTACAGGGCCTGATCCTACTACTACTAAAGTCAATGGAACACTCCTACTGCCTTTAACAGGAGCTGGATCAGGCTGTTGGAGTCTGACCCTATAGGGAGCCAAGTGTTATGTTGAGGGCATGCAGAGACGTTAGATAAAAACATAAAAATGCTCTTGCTGGAACTTTTCCATGAAACATAACTTTATTTTTTAGACTCCAGAATGATAATACACAAGAACTTCAAAACAGAAAGAGACAAAGCAGGCTGCTCCCTAGAACAGAGAGGCACGTTACTCCTCTTTATGTAGGCTGTCTGCCTGCTTAGCAGACTCTGATTGCACACCTCCTTTCAGAGCCCCCTTACTGCAGACAGGACCAAGAAACCCTAAAGAATTTAAAGAAACATCTGATGAAGTGAGCTGTAGCTCACGAAAGCTCATGCTCAAATAAATTGGTTAGTCTCTAAGGTGCCACAAGTACTCCTTTTCTTTTCACAGTACCTAGCAGTCCAGGGGCTGCTTGGGTGGCAGGACCAGTGATTCTGCTGTTGCAGGGAGCCATGGGCCAGTGCTTAGGAACCATGGCACAGAATGGCAATTTCCTAGTCTGATGAGAGCAATGTGATTGGCAATGAACATGGGTGAAATTTATTTACCTTCCCAATCCAATGGGGACAGAATTCATCCTGTAACCCACAAGCAGGTCTGTAGTGATACTGTTCCAGTCTATGGGCTGCAAGAGTGGCCAAAACTCCTCTGCAACCACTATTTGGTCAAGCTTATGGGAAAGCCTTACTGAATGTAATGAACTAAAAACAACTGGGTTCTACATAGACGTTTAATAGGGTTCTATAGATGCTATTTAAAACCTGTAGAGAATAACGTCCTTTCCATAGGTATTTGGACCTATAAAATTCTGTAGCAGGGCTATACTTAGATTGTAAGCTCCTTGGGGCAGGAACTGTCCTTTTGGTCCATTTGTACAGCACCTAGCACAATGAGTCTTGGTCCATGACTGGGGCACCTAGGTGCATGCAATAATTAAATAAAATAATAATAATAATAAATCTCTATTAAATTCAAATAATAAATTCAAAGGCTATTGTTTTCTGCTATGGTCAATAGCATTTTCCATAAGGGGCCCCCCTCCTCTGACCCCCTCTGCACCAGCCAACTAAAGGTGGGTGCAGAGTACCACTTCATCATGCACAGGAAGGGGGAGGGATGGCGACCACACCTTGCACAGCTCCTGTCACTCCCCAGTCCTTTCCCTGCAGAGCTCTATGGAAAAGCTGTAGTGGCACAGAGGGGCTTGCACAAGCCCTCCCTTGCTCTATAAGAATTGTATTTTTTAATTATATATTGCCTGAGTGGTGTGTGAGCCCCCCCTTCAGGGAGGCTAGCCACACAGCTCTGCCCCTTCCACCGGAGGCCCCCTCCTTACTGCCCCCCCATCCGCCGGAGCCCCAAGCGCCCCCCCCCTCGAGATTGGAGGAGCCCCGGTCGAACCGCTCAGGGCTACTGGCTGCCCCCAGCATCGGGCCAGCTGCAGCACCAGCCCCAGCCCCAACCCCAGCAACAGAACACTGGCCAGCCCCAGCACCAGATTGCTGTCTGCCCCCAGCGCGGGCCCAGCCCCGGGCCACTGGCCTCCGCCCGCAGCTGAGCTCTCGTCAGCTTGGGGGAAAGGGTGAAGCATGGGCAGGGCCAGGGCTTGACTTAGGGGAGGCTTAGCCTCCCCTGGCATATTATACCCACTTCCCATGATATATTATTTGCATAACATGGATCGAAGGAGCACGAAGGACACAGGGATGAGCGCCCTCTGGTTTCTTGTATCTTGTGGAGTATTGGCCATTTTGATTTTTTAGTAAAAACTAAAAAAAAAAAAAAAAAAAAGACAGTACTTGTTGCTTCTGGATTTTCAGGTGCCTTGCCTCGGCATGTTTTGAGATCTCCTCTGAAACCCCAGAAGAATTTCCCATGACACATTCCCACTGATTATTGTTGTGCAAACCTTTTGTTGACCATGATTTACAAAATCCCTTTTACTTTCTCTCTCTGGGTTCAAATCCCACGCTCCTGGTCATCCCTTCTTTACAAACTGGTGCAATAGTTGTTGGTTTCTAATCCAGTCATACAGTTTGCTCCTTCCTCTCCCATGGAAACTAGGAACTTTCAAAAATGATCATTAAGCAGCTCAATTTTTCATTTGCTTTGTAAAGATCTTTAGTACAAATATCGGAGTCTGGGGATTTAACTACAGTAAGATCTATTGATCTAATTATGGCATCAAGTGTATTAACTGCCATTGGGGCTGTAATAATAATTATTGCTTTGTGCAAGTTTGATTTATCTGGTTGGGCTACAACCACAGGACCAAATACTGCTCTCGTTTACACCAGTTCCACAGCAGTGCAACTCCAAAGACTTCAGTGCAGTTATTCCTCATTTATGTTGATGTAAATGAGCACAGAATTGGGCCTATTAATTAAGAGAAGGTCCCTGTCCCAAAGTGCTTGCAGGCTAAGGGCTCGATCCTACAAACTCACCACAGTAAACATTTCCATGATCAGAATATCATAGAATCATAGAATCATAGAATATCAGGGTTGGAAGGGACCTCAGGAGGTCATCTAGTCCAACCCCCTGCTCAAAAGCAGGACCAATCCCCAATTAAATCATCCCAGCCAGGGCTTTGTCAAGCCTGACCTTAAAAACTTCTAAGAAAGGAGATTCCACCACCTCCCTAGGCAACACATTCCAGTGTTTCACCACCCTCCTAGTGAAAAGGTTTTTCCTAATATCCAACCTAAACCTCCCCCACTGCAACTTGAGACCATTACTCCTTGTCCTGTCCTCTTCTACCACTGAGAATAGTCTAGAACCATCCTCTCTGGAACCACCTCTCAGGTAGTTGAAAGCAGCTATCAAATCCGCCCTCATTCTTTTCTTCTGCAGACTAAACAATCCCAGTTCCCTCAGCCTCTCCTCATAAGTCATGTGTTCCAGACCCCTAATCATTTTT